TTGAGTGTACACACAAGCCTATTTAACCTTACACATAATTGCAGATCATCATTGTGTACCAAATCAGCCGTGTCTCTAAAGACTCATTGTTCGCAGTGTCTTGCATTAGTCACATCCTCTAGCAATCCCAAAGAGGCCATTGCATTACACACATATATAACACAAGAATGTAAGACAAATCTATTTTTATTCAGTGTACAAAGTATTACCGTGACAAAATTACACTTGGAGAATCTCATAATGGAAAAGTCGAAGTGAAAAAGTGGCCCCCTCTGCTCCTAATGTATTATACTTCCATTCAGATCTGCTTCACTGATTCCTACAGCAGGTGTTGCAGCCTCGTGGCTCTTATATATGTTGCTACCGATGAGATCATTCTCCATAGCAGTTGTCAGCATGTTAGACTCTTGGCAATTTTCTGTCGCAGACGTCAATACATGTGCAGAGCCCTTAACTGTCCACAGCCATTTTTATTATCTGTAATGTCTCTAAAAATCTGCTGTACTCAACATACTCAGCAGCAAATTGCATACAATGCAGTTAGCGCCTTGATGGCGAACATAATTGAGCATTTAGCAGCAGAGATTTCCCTCATTTATTATTCTGATATTTATTGCCTTTATTTATTTCATTGTTTCCACACTTTTCCACAAGGAAAAAGAAACAAACAATAAAAAACAAGATTCAATATTACATTTGTGTAATATAAATATGGTTGGCCTGTGCCAGAAATAGTTTTGTTTGCACAGTATCTTTATATTGCCAGCCAGAAAGAAAGCAAGCTGCTACACTGAGCAATAACACTGGAAAGAAAGCAACAAATAACAAGTAAAACACCATTACATATTCTCATTTTAGTATCTAACAAAACTCGATGAAGAACATGATCTAAAGATTTTTTTTTTCATCTCTACCAGGCATCCAAATTTCCTTCTGTCCCCGGAAATTGATGATGAAATATGATGTTTCAAACACAGACCTTCTCCTGGTTTTGCACAATCAGAAATGGAAGAAAAGTATAAGGGCATCCACAAGTACAACAAGACAGATTCCCACATGTGGGTCAAATGTACTTTTTGTAATAAGTCTAGGGACATGAGGAGAGAAGGAATAATTTGTTTGTCACAGTTAGAGTTGTGGAGTTAAAGGAGGGTCATGAAGCAGAAACTGAGCACTGCTGTGAAGAGTCAACACTCAAGAGCAGTCCAGCTGGCCAACAAGCTACTCCAGAGCCTAATTAAATTACTTTATCCGTGGGTGTCAGAGACATAAACAGAGGTTACTGGCACTGAAGCACAAATTCACAGTTTCCCGCAGTCCAAAAAGGCTGTTCATTCTTCTGCCGAAGAAGAAACTCAGATACTGAGGCACACACACACACACACACACACACACACACACACACACACACACACACACACACTGTTCTTGCTAAATAGGTAAATTAACCTCGCTTTTATCCTCCTGTCCTTACCCGTTTCAGTAGCGCGCCCATGGGTGCACATTTGGCCTATTTTTATTAAGACAAACATACACAAGCATTATATTCACTTAATAATAATAATAATAATAGATTTAATTTGTTAGCGCTTTTACAGGTGCTCAAAGACGCTTTACATATATAGTGAAGAGAACATAAAATAAAGGAACAACAAATAAATATATAGTTAAAGTTAAAGTCAAATAATACAAAAACAATCACACATTAAAAGCCAGATTGAAGAGGTGAGTTTTTGTAAGTTTTTTGTTGTACTTAAGTTACATGTGGTAGTATGGGGCAGATTAGCCACCGCCTCAGCAGCTGGGAGTTTGATTGGCATTACAGGTGGCCATTATTTCCCTAATTTAAACAGTGTGTTCTCGCATGATTTCTAAATCACGTGAGATTGTTTTTTGAAAATATAGATTATACATGTTTTATATGTTTGGGGGTTTAGAAGCTGTAAAACTTGAGACTTTTGGAATTTCGTGTTTCACAATTTTCGCTATTAAAATGTTGTAATAACTTTGGAGATCCCAGGTTTTATCCAATACAGCCAATATTTCATTTTGTGAATGACCAAATAGGCTACCTTCAAAAATCATGACATTCCCATCAGTGTCATTTCTAATTTTGTTAACTGTTATGTCAGATATTAAGCATCCCAACAAACTAAACTGCAGTGGGCAACATGGTAAAAATATTTCAATATTGTCATTTTTAGCGCATTAGCTGCCAAACAACAGCCCCACAGAGCTGCTTGTATGGATATTCTGTTTGTTTTTTATTTCCTCCAATTCTATATTAAATGTCACCTATTATGCAAAATCCACTTTTTCATGTCTTTTATACATAAACATGTGTCCCCTCTGTGTAGAGAGAATCTGAAGGTTTCAGGAAAAAGATTCTCTCACTTTTTGTCCTGATCCATTTATATACAAACCTGTCTGAAAATGAGCAGATCAGATTTTGGCCACTTTATGATGTCATAACGATGTTTTGGCTTGTGTAACCATTAGCCAATAACCAACCAGGGTAACCCCCCCCCCCCCCCCCCTTATCACCTGAATCTCCTCCTAGAGCACCATATGGCGCATTCACACCGCAGTACTTTCCAACAAAGGTTCATAAGAACTTAGTTAATGAGAACTCTTTAGTTCTCATGAACTAAGTACAGATCGCGATCACACCGGAATCGCGATCTGCTGGGACTCCCAGCAGCTTCTACTGAAGCCTTCCGAGTAAATCGCCAGAACGCCGACACCTCCTCATCTCCACCGCTCCCATGTTTTCTTTTGTGTTGCCATAAGTTAGTCTCTCTGCGTTTCTGCGCTGGGCTAATGCTAATAATGCTAATGCGAGGATAATAAAAATGGCGGCTTCACAACACTTTTTTGGAGTTTTACGGGGCGTGGTTTGCATTCCGCCCAGCCAATCAGAAATAGGAACCTTTTTCTCCCACGAAAGTACCTGCTCTCTAGCAGGGACGGAAAAGGGGGTAAAAAAGGTTCTGATGAACTCATTTTATTTCCGGCTCTTTTTGGTGTGAACGCGACATTTCGGAACGATATCGGAACTAAAGTGGGAAAAGTACTGCGGTGTGAACGCGGCTATTGTGTTATTTTTAACCAAATATCTCTCAGAGGGGCGTGGGGAGTGGCTCCTTATTTTCATCTAAAGTAACAGACAGAGAATCAGCACGTTTGAAACAGAGGGGTTTATGGGATGCTACAATGCATGATCTGTTTGGTATTTCAAGCCAAACACTTCAGAGACATGTTTTGTATATATCTGAGAGCTATAATATATTGATGAAACACAGTATAATAGGGGACCTTTAAGAACATTCACCAAAGTACCCATGTTACGGGAAACACATATTGAATGCTGGTAGTGAGGGTTTTTTGTTTTCTCCCAAGCGGTGAAAATGACTATGTTGAATCACAAAATGAATGCGGGAATTGAGATGTGTGTGAAAGGATGTGAATGAAAGGCATGAGGGAGCAGTAGAGCAAGATAACACATATGAGGAGTACAAGGCTGCATTGCATGAGGATGCAATATTTTCCCAGAAGCTCAATCAAATTCAAATAAATCCGCAAAAGTACCACTATGTCTCTTGAGAAATGTTTTGTACTCCTTCTTTAACAGTGTGTGTCAGTCTTGATGCTGACTCATCCATTGACACGTTTCAATAGACTCACTTCAGTCAGGCTTTCTGCGTAGAGCTTTTTGATCGAGCTGCTGGTGACTTGGAACACTACATAGATTGGAACAAAATAGAATATATTATAATAGTGGCAATGTATAGTTGAAAAGTATTGTAATGTGCTGCATAAGTAACAATGCACTCCAGGAGCCTGTCAGAAAAGCCTTATAATTCATTTGGGATGCATTCTGAACTTCATTCTTCAAAGTGTGTTTGTGTGTAGTTGTGCATATAAACATGTATGTATGTGTTGTTCAATAAATGCATAGAGCGACAGGGAGATACAAAGCATGTTAGAGACAACATCAGAGGAGCGAGCTGGAAGCATTTCAAAGGTGCGTGCTGTTCCCCTGGGGGAAGGAGGAGACAGCTAATTACTACTGAGATTTCCCATTCTCCTACTCTTATTAGTCATTTCCTCATTACGGGCTGGCATTAGGCACCCAGCCACTGAGAATAAAGCCATTGGATGCCCTTTCTTTTCTGTTTTAAAAAGGCTTCCAGCTAGACCTCCCAGCACTACCAGTGTTAGGGAAGCCACGCTGTGTTTAAAGGCATTAAAGGTAATCTGATAACGTGAAGGCAATGAGCTGTTTCCACTAAACAACAGCACCTTGTCCCAGGGTGCAAGCCTGCTGTTGATTTCATTGCCAGTGAATGTTAAGCGGTTGTGAGTGTTTTTTAATTGTGGCCATAAATCAGTCGTCCATGCAAGGAAGGGGTAACAGGCGAGTGAGAGCGAGGAAGTGTTAATGTTGAACACAGAGCTCACCTGGGGCTCACAGCCCCGCTGGAGAACCAGTGGCATTGCGAAGGTCAGCGGCCATCACAATCAAAGCCTTACATTTCTCATGATAATGTTGAATGGCCTCCTCCCAGATCACTCACGCTGCATCTTTGTCCCTGAATCTGACAAAATTGATGGTCTACGTCTCCCCACAAGTAGGTGTCACCATGGAAACAACCGTTATTCAGTGCTCTCAACAATAGCCGTTGAATGAAAGGAGCTGTCTGATGGAATTAAAGAGTAGGCTCAGTTCCTCTTCCCATGTATTAAGTACTCACAGCACCAGCAGCTAAACCATACAGGGCAAATGTGTACACGATAGCATAACCTACATTTCATCAAGTACATTAATATTGTTGTATTTTCTATGTATCGCTCCTCTGCAGCGGTGAGAACATTTTACACGAGTGAGTAGGATCAGATTAAACTGGAAGAAATAAGCAGACAGGTGTATCTGATTTTTGACAAAACACTTTGCAAAACACACAATTAATTGTTATAAATAACAAATCACAAAGAAAATGTCAGTTTAAGGATTAGATTTATTCATCTATTTGCAAGACAGAGAGCGTAAACTACAAGAACAGAAGTTTGTGCAAATGCAGGCTTGCATATTAGCATATCTTACGACCCAACGGAATGACTGCATAGCACAGCTTAACAATAAAAGAAAGCATGCAATAAATCCCTTTCTTCCTTTTGAACAAATCAAATATTTACTAATGACGCATGGGTTGCTTCTCACCCACACGGTCTGCAGTAACACCAGTTGCACATTATGTTTATGGGTTGTAAACCTTGTCCTGATTAACGGTGGATGGGGGAAAGAGAGAGAGAGAGACAAAGACTGTCTGTGAAAAATGTCAAATGCATCAGTGCGGTGTAAAACCTATGCCTCGTTCATTTTGTCGGACAATGGTGCAATGAGATAAGGGGAAATAAGCAGCTCAATTAATTATTTCCAGCTCTTTTTAATCTGCAGAGTAAGATGGCCACACAAACTGTGTTTGTATAGTCTCCAGTGTTTCAGCTCACTGTGTTTGCAACACTGTGGCACAAATGATGGTTTCCCATCAAAACATGAAGGATTTTACTTTTTATAAAGTGGCAACACCAAATGGGTTCTGCTAGCTACTGAACATAACCACACAATAATACATATGTGCAATGAAACTGGTAATGAGAAAAGATAAGGAATTTAACAAATATTTTTCCAAAAAGGTCTCAAGCGTTGTTAGTTTAGGGCAAATCTGGCAAGGCATTAAAGACCCATGCATCACTCTATATGAATTACATAAAACATCTGGAAATATTTCATATTTCAGATAGCTCAAGGAGAACATAACAAATGTTATTGGCACAGTGTTTTGATATTTGAACTTAGAAAAAAACTATTTTGGCATTTTTTGATTACTTATCAGAGAACAAAAATATGAAATAAATACAAATAATAAAATTCCTATCCGATAAAGGAATACCATTTTGTATGTTCTAAGATTGTAGAATCATATCTCATGGAAATGTCAAGAGGACAGGGTAATGAACCACTTGAGCCGATGCAGCTCATAACCTGAGGCAATGCAATAAGGTGGTCTCCAAGGATTTGTAGGTGATCATAAGGCTGGTTTCATAAATAAATGCTTTTTTATGATATTAATTTTGTTATCAGAATATGTTTTCATACTTTTTGTGTTGTAAAAAGGTTTATCAATAAAACATGTATAGTAACACAATTATTATAGCCTCTAACTTCAGATGTGAGACCAAAGTCCCTCCACATCATTTACTGATATGGCTCCATATCTAGGCCTGCTGAATCGATCGGACTCGTCCTATGATCCACAGCGACAGAGGAATCCTCGATAGTTGTGATCTTCAAAGGAGTTCAGAGAGCAGCCAACAGCAGAGCTTGCTGTGTTTAGGTGTATTCATAAGAAATCAATAGTCTGTATCTGGGGAGGACTGGTAAAGCTCTAGAGGACAAATCAAAGTCAGATTAATATATGTAGCTTGGGGGTGGATATGTGTATGTTTGAGAAGAGTCTTCCAATGTATTAAATGGCTTTTGGCCAAGTGAATTAGTCACCATTCAGAGCACAAATATAGCATATAAGATACATATAAGAGCAACAAGCAGGTGAATAAGGTATAGAGGCATTACTGGAAGAGAAAACCAATCAAGCAAAACATAGTTAGGGTTGAACCTATTCGGTGAACTCTGAGGATTTTACACACTTTTGCATTTAAGTCACTTATGCTTCTCAGTTAGCCAGCTGATAAGGGCACCAATGTTTGACTTTCATTCATAAAATAATTTGACCAGATATAATTTCTTTGAATCTGTAAGGTGTATGTTTTACCTATAAATGAAATGAAAATACTAATTTGCATTTGCAATTTCAAAACCAAGGTAAGTGCAAAAGATTCTAATTGTATTATTATATTAAATTCAAATTTCAAATAGATTTGTGAAAGGTTTGCTCTTGATACATCTTGAATATTCATTTTCCAGTCCAGATTTAAGGTAAACCCATCCATATTTTGTAAATAGGAAGGAATCATTTAGAGGTGCCTTGCATAAGTGATGAAAAGGTTTGAATGCCAGGAGGATGCCTTTTGAGAATGTCTTTGCAACTTTTTTTACTTTCTCGTTCAATTGACTTTTATGCACTTCTTCAAATTGTAATAATATGTGACATCTCTCATTTCTTGTTTTGTTAGAGGCCAACATTTTGGGAAAATACTGAGGCCGCAACATGGTACAGCTTTATGTGAACTGTTACAGACTACGCACTGAACACTATGACGACAATCTGCACAACCCTGACAAGGTAAGTTAAAGTGAAGGTTAGAGATTCAGGCAAGAAATTCTTGAAAATGAAAAGCACAGATTCACAGAAAAAGTTTGTTCGTGAGACGCACATGTACAAAACATGAGCAAACGTCAAATTTAACACATTCCAGAGCTGGTTTGATGAACATTAGCGTGTGTATTGAAGCACTTGTTTTAATCGGCTTTGTGCTTTCATTGGATCTAAACTCTGCACTCCACTTAAATTCCCTACAAAACATCGAGTTAAATGATATTGCGTATAAAAAGCAGCACAAAGAAGAAGAAAAACAGAGCAGGAATGTGAAGGACAATAGCAGACTATTCAAAAGGAAAGTATTCATTTGACATGAAGGATCATTCTCACAGTTTATACTAAAGCCACCAAACTCACTGAATCATTTGTCTTCTCTTGGAGAAAACATAAGAAGCAACTTATGCTGCAGAAACCCAAACACATGCCAGCTGATTACATGGCTGTATTTTCCATGTTTTTATGACTTGTGAGCTCCCTTTTGAAACTGAAAGAAGCATACGCAAGCTCGAGCCATAACAAATATTACACATAGCAGAAGTCACTTAAAGATTCACAGATGTAGAAGGTACAAGGTACAAGGTCCAAAGGGAGACATATTGGAACTAATCCAGGATTTCCCCATTGCTGCTGTTTCCTCACCTGGCATTATTAAGACCTAATTACTGGTGGATTTGATCAATATTTTACACAGAATACACTAACTTGGCAACCTGCTAACAGCCCAGACACTCAGCATTACTTGCTTTCATATTCCCCAAGTGGGGGTGGTGTAATTAATGGTTCATGGTGTATCAATAAGGATTTTCTATTGAGAATGGCTGGTGCTCTTTAGAAACAGAGTTTTCACTTTTGATTTTCCACTTCAAATCAACTCATGATAATGACTGATTTTAAATATGCTATCTTTGTTCTTTTGGAAATATGGTTGTATTGTTATCCAATATAAGGCCAATATTGCAGCCAGAAAAATGTAGGTACATAAAGAAAGGTCAAGGTATTAATCGGTCTGAATGCAGCATTTCTTCCTGTAATTCATATATATATATATATATATATAACATCTGGATTAAATGTTGTCAGTATTTTCAAGTTGAGCAATATCATTTTGATTGCAACATACAGTACTGTACAGTTTATCTTCAAAAGTACCTGAAGATGTCACATAAGCAAAACAGTAACATAATAGAGAGGGTAGAGGTGCTGAATGTCTTGAGCAGTGAGGAATTTTAAGTCTGCATCCGCTGGATAGATCAGTACTGAGGGATTGGCCTGCATGCATACAAATGTGGGGTAAAAAACAACACAATCCTCCAGAACTGATACTGAAGCTGCTGGATGGTCAAGGTTTTCAAAGCCAGGGAGAACAACGCTGGATCCACATCGAACAGACACATGTAACCAACAGCCTCTGTAGTGCTGTCCTTATGTAAACACTTGTGAAGAATGAAATAAATGAGTAACAACACATTTAGAAAGCTTTTTGCTTCAGTACTTGTCCAAAATTGCGAGGCATGCGTCCTTTCTCCCTCTCAGTGTTCTGGACTGATGCTGTGGTCAAAGGTTGGTCCCAGGAGCAGGCTGGGGTTTTATTCTGTTGGGGTGGTGGCAATAGGGGTGAGGACGGGGGTCAGCGACTCACTAATTGGACACATTGGGGAGATGGCCCTATGGCTGTAGTACTCCACTACTTGCTTGGGCACCTCTGCAAGAACACATTTGGCCAGGGCTGCAGGGGAAGCCTGCAATGGAGACAGAGAACAGCTGGATTTGTCGGGGGACTACAGATGGGGTAACAAACACTTTTATGTTTCAGACATATTTAAGACAGTCAGTATCAGACATTGTATTAGAGTGTTCTGTTCATAACTCATCAAAAAAAGTTATAGTTATAGTTGATTATTTAATGTTTAACTAGGATGCAGTGGGTAAAAGATACTTTTGTTTAAGCATATTGGGAAAAATAAATGTCAGTAGTATATCACTCATTAATGAATATCTTTTATTTCACATGTGCAGGCCTGCAAGATAAATCTGGGTAAAAAGGGAGTGCACTTGCTGTTTGATTTTTAATTGTATAAAATGTAAGTGTTACAAATATGTAATAATATTATGTAATACATACTGTATGTAGGTTAACTATATACATGAGCGATCAGTTAAAGAAAAAAAAAACATAAAGTGTATATATATATATATATATATATATATAAGCTCTTATATCGCATAGATTCTGTAAAACTCTCCTGAAGGGATGACATTCATGTATTTCCTTATATTGTGTTTTGATAATTAAGGTGCAAAGCATTGTGGAAAAGCATCAGGTTAAAACCTACCATATGTATTGAGATACACTTTGCCTTTTCTTTTTCTTTTTTAGTGTAGTGGAGCCTCACTTCAGAGTGTTTACCGCGACCTATCTTTGGTGTTATGAAGTGACTGAGCTCGTGAAATGTCTACGGGAGGGCGGGGGAGCATCGCTGCGGGGCAACTGTGGACCTCTGTCGCCTGTCAGCGCAATTTATATGATGCCGTTTAAAAAAATGAAGGGCGGTGCCGGCCGTCAGCGTACCGAGCCGGCCGTCAACGGCCCGCTGACGACCGGCCGTTCTGTGATTCTCCAGGTCCGCCCTGTATTCCACCGGGTCACCGCAGCACCGCGGTGCAGACGGACCCGCTGGAATACAGGGTCTACCGCGTTTAGGAACCGTTAAGCAGAACCGAAATTGTGTATTTTGTATGGGTACCCGGTACCCGGCATTTTCTTATCGGTTCTCATCTGGAACCGAGTTTCGGTTCCCAACCCTAATGGTGACTGTAAAAACCACAGCATATGATTGACATAATTTTCATACTAGTCTCTTCACCTCTCATCACCCCGTATCCTGTATTTCTGCATTTATTAGGTTTCTCTACTTATTTATTCATTATTGATTGTTGTTGAAATGTCTGTCTGCTGCCTATGCGCTCTTTTAAACAACAATGGAGAGGGTGTTATGTAAAAAAAAAATCAATGTCCACTTGTTTTTCTAACACAGATGTCAGAAGAAGTGGGGTTGAGGCTGAAAGTCAAGAAGTTAGATTGACAGACGGAGAGAAAAACTGACCGTTTTGAAGTCTCTGAAGGGCACAAACTGCACAATGTCCCTGAGGACTGGCTCGCCCTTGGGTGAACGTAGGACTCCGTCATCTCCATCCAAAATCTGCATGTCTGTGAAGTCTGCATTGCCCACTCCAACAATAATTATGGAGAGAGGCTGGTAGGAGCCTCGCACAATCGCTTCACGTGTGTCTGCCATGTCCGTCACTACACCATCCGTGAGGATGAGCAGGATGTGGTATCGCTGGAAAAATATAAGATTATTATGTCCATACTGACACCAACCCATTTTAACAGCAACATGTGGTTTAGCAAGAAAACCTCTAAGTGTGTGTTTTGGTCTTTTTGTTTTGGGGAATTTAAGTGTGAGTGCCAGTGTGTTCAGCAGTGAAAACAAGGGGATCAAGAACAAATAAAAAGGAAGGCTATTAAAAACAAAATACATATTTAAAAAAAAAAAAAAAATCCTTGTGTGTGTGTGAATGTATGTGTGAAAACTATTTCATGTTTCCACTGAACGGTGTAAAAGGAGAATACGAGGTGTCGGAGAAAATGGACATGTAATTATTTCTGATTGGTCCCATGAGAAGTGGATGGTTTATTGGAACCTTAAAGTGTTTATGTGTTACTCAATGTTCTGAGTGTATTCATCTCTAATGTGTGCCTTAAAGCCTGGTTGTTTACTGCAGCTCATTCACTGATCAAAATATGGAATAGAAAAGGAGAGTTATAATGACATGAAGGTCAGTACAATAACAAGAGTATGATAGCTTAGAAACTAATGTCAGTGAACCCTCTGGGTAATGTGAGAGCGTAAATAGATAAGAGACTTCTGTTCCTATTCCCAACGAGATATCAATGAAAGATAAAGCGCTCAGTAACATTATTAGGCATTTGTGTTGAATCCCATTTTAACAGCAGTTTATGAGATTCTTTTAACACAAAAAAGGGGTCAATGATTTGGAAAATGTATTAAAGCAAACTAAATATACGTCAGTACGGGATTTCACATCATAATTTAAAGAATACTAATTTGCTCTTTGATAGGCACTTTCTTCGTTTGCGCCATGGGCATTGTAACTGTGAACAGAGGTGAAACAGAGGCTTCTCACTCTGGGAACTCAGCGGGATGCATTTCAACAAAGCCTGTATTACGTCAATTTATTTCTAATAGAGTATGAAAAGAGACACTCACAGAGGCGTCTTTAATGTTGCCGTCGCCTGCTGCCAGTTTGGCTATCCTGTTAATGATGGGAGAAACATTGGTCGGGCCGTACAATTGGATCTTAGGAAGGCAGTTCTGGTACGCCTCAACCACTCCTTGGATCTCTGATCAAAGAGAGCACAGAGCCAAATGAAGGAAACATCAATAACATTATCTACAGTTATCTACACTTGTCATTAAAAAAGCTGAAACTAAACACCAGATTGATGAATCACTGCAGTCAACTATTCTTACGAGGCTTGAATATGTTTTGCCCCTTACAGAAGTAAAATAACTTGAACTTTAACGAGCCATGTTTGAAATATTCCAAATATTTAAATACAAACCTGACTCAATCCTTCCTTACCTTCACATTCATCATCCTCTGGGTTGAAGTTAATGGCAAAGTCATGTGACACCTGCGGATAAAGAGAAAAATGGGAAACAGTTATTTAATTATCATGGAGGCTTTGTCCCCAGAAGCGGCTGCCATGTTTAGACTCTGCTAAAGCCTAGAATACACGGTATTGCTCTGTACAATTTGGTTAGGAAAAGATGAGTTTTGTAGAATTGAAACAAACCAAAAGTGACACAGACTGAAAGTTGGAAATGTTAGTTGTCCTACTGCTTTTGAGTGTTATTTAGAAATAACTTCTGATGGCATCTACAACGTTACTACTGACCACATCAAATGATACTGGGAGTCAGTTTGCAGCTGGCACGTTAATTATTATGGCAGTCATTTTCAATACCTGGTAGGATCATTTAATGATTCGTTTTGAATGTCAATTACAGGCAGGGAAATGATGTGCTCATAATCAAGAACTGATAACAAAACGCAAGCTGGAACTTAGAAAACTATGGTCAAAATATTAATAATAATTCATGGTATTTACTTTTGCTGGAATACTCAAAGCGCTTTACATTATATGTTACATATATTAGACATGTAATACATTGAATACTGTGGACAATACCCACAGGACCATGTTGACTGCAGTGGCGGTCAAGGTGGGATTGAACCAGTGCTACCCTGGTCCCCTGATCTGATGATCAGCACACTAAACCAGTGCGTCCCTTAATTATTGAATTCATATATATACACTCAATTTCTATTTCAACCAATTTTTTAAATGTCCCTCACTTTTTCACATGTGTATTGATACAAACAGTATTGTATGTACATCATTCACTGCTATCTGGTTTCTGGAAAGAGACTGTAACCCCTCTTCTTTTATATGGCCTATTTTCACCACCCAAACGTCATATTTATTTAGTTTATTTAAAAGCTGTATACTTGGCACGAAATGAATCCCCTTCTAGATACCTCCTCTCACAAGAAACCTTTTTTTTTTCCATCAGCACCAACTGTCAGCCAGATCAGTGACAACTGACTTTTCTCCAGCTGGCTACTTTCTTTTGAGTCATTTCTGTCTTTAATGTGATTAACAGCCTGCATTCAGTCACTGTACTGTGGAATGGGGCCACTGCAAGAGAGGGGCTCTTGTTTTGTATCTCATTTAACAGGCCTGTTTCATGGCGGACCTTTTGACATGGAAATGCACAGGTGTAACTAATAACATTAATAATGGCTGTCTGTCTTCCATTTGAACGTGCCCGTTTTGAGGCTCTGCTATTGTGCAGGCTGGTTCGCTGGCATGGCTTATAGGGACAGAAAAATGGAACAGAGCATTGGTAATTGTATTAGTTACACCTGTGCTTTGTATGCTACTGTGTGACACTCATTCAATAATACAATCTTATCTTTGGCTTTGCCTGTTCAGATGTATTGAGGATTAGCATCAGTGCAAAATCAACACTCAGTTTAAAGCTCTGAAAAACCTTTTGTCAGTCCTAATCTGTCCAAGTTTGGAAATCAGTGTTGGTTATTTGATCATTTCCATATGTGGGTTTTTTATCTGTACTTTGCTCACTTGTTAGAAGAGTACAAAGCTCATTTGGAAATAGGTAATATCAGATGATCCAGAGCACAAATCAGGATTTGGCAACATTCCACACTCCAGATGAAGCAGATAAGATGAGTGTTCATCTGGTCCAGACTAACGAAAAATGTGATCTGTTGTTGCCTTTCAGTTCAAATCTGTTCACACTCTTCCAAACCTCAATCATACTTATTTGTTAATATAATCTGCTGTTACAAAAAGCTTAAATAAGTGATATTAGTATTACTTGCCTGAAAATCTATGTAATGAATGTTTATTATCAATATTGCATGTGTGTTGCAATGGTTATCAAATGCTTTACATACATGTATCCATCCGTTCATGATCAGTTGTAAATCAGCAGATCGTATTAAGGCTTTAAACCAGGGGTGTCCAAACTACGGCCCCGGGGCCAAATGCGACCCGCGTACCATTTTGAATCGGCCCTCAGCTAATTAAATCTTTTTTCTGTTTATTTTTATTTTTTTCTGTTTATTTTCATGGCTCTGTTGTTTAAGTTATATTGATAAGCTTCTCTTTTTTTCCGCCCGTGTGGGCATGTGCGGGTGGAGGGAGGGAGGGAGGAGTGTACTGTGATATTACAATATCAATGAAATGGCATCGATTACTGTACACTATAATGAAATAAAAAGACTTGTAAAAAAAAAAAAAATTATAATGAAATACAGTATGGCCCACAAATGAAACTTGTGCTTGTCTTATATTGTACTTCTTAAATGTAAAAAATATATTGCACATTATTCATGTGTTAATAAGACCACTTTTCAAATAAATTCAGTCAATTAAAGTTGGAAAGATTTTCTAACATATATTAGTTGATGAGAAAAAAGCCCAATGACTTATTTACATAACAAGCTTGAAATTCACCCTTCCTATTTCTCCTTATTATAATTAATCTGAGGCTTCTGTTTTAATGGGTGAGCTGCCAACACTCACAAGCATTATTTACCTACATTTGATTGATTTTCTAACATATATTTGTCTGTATGTGGCCCTCGGTGAAAAAAGTGTGGACACCCCTGCTTTAAACCCTTGCTAAAAACACACATATACTATCATTAAATCCTGTGGTTTGCTTCCAGCTTTACTTTCAGACCAACATCCAATTACACAACAGTCCGAGGCAAAGAACTGGATCAACAGTACGAGGGCACCTAAACATCAGAGTTCAATTGACTGCCTCCATACCAGCAACAGACAAACCGCACTAAACAAGTAAATGCACCAGTCCATTTTTTTTTTTTAAAGCACACTTATCTGATGGTAAGGGATGTTTTCTCCTTTTAACCTTAACTCTGACTTGTGCACGTTTTCTGTGGCTTACAAAAAACAGAGCACAATAAAACGGAAGCTTCCCATTAATGCGCACAATTATTATCTGGTACATCCTTGGCTGGAAAATCTTGGTTCTTTGTTTATTATATGAATTCAAATAAAATGTGTATACGTAATGCATAATAAGGGATACAACAGTGCAGAACAACACTGAGAAATATTCCTGGTCCATCAACCCCTCACAGAGGTGTAGCATATGAGTTCATTGTAATGACTTAATTAGCATTCATCTGCAGCACAAATCACAATGTGGCAGCAGCATGAAATAAGATAAATGTGGCTTCTGCTGGGCAGTCACTGTTGTGGTTAATTCAGAAATGAATAGTTTTGAGTTTACAAAGCCATGAATCTTTGTATGATGTAAATGATAATTACAAGTGTTTCATATCCGCACATAGAACAATGCAATCATAAAAAACAATCAATAAAACACACAACCTATGTTTGGTTTGTCTGGTATGAAAAAGTGTATCAATGTGTGTGTGTGCACTCTTCACATGTCAGACGTCTCCTGAGGGCATTATGCTGAATCACTGAAGGCTTTGGTTCTCAAAGTCCAATTTGCTTAAACAAATGCTCTCACACTCATGAATTGCTATGTAAATTAAGCATCAACACTACAGGGCTTTTATCTTATGAGAACATGTTATTTTCTGCAGACAAGTTGCTATTTTAAGACATGGGGCTTATGAATAAAAAGTTGGCAATTAGTTTAAAATGTGAAATGTTGACAGAATGACGGACTGTGTCATAAAACTGGTCAATGAAATCAGCTGCTTAATGCAAGTCCCAGGGTGAAGGAATATACCAGGATTCCATGCGAACATGAATATATGCATAATATTGTTCATGTGAAGAGAAGGCCAGTGTTAGGGGAAATAATAAAAAAGGGAGGCTTTGTATAATAAAAAAAACAGGGAGAGGAGAAATACTCACCTCATAATTTGGAGGGATTCTGGCACCAAACCCCAAAGCTGAAAATCTTTTGTCACTGAAAAGATAAGCAAATTAGCCAGTCATATATTTCAGTTACTGAAGTTTAACATGAGATAGCCTATGAAAGTGTTCTGAAAAGCATTGATATATTATCCATGTGTTCATATTTCCAATGGCAAACCATCTGCGTCGTTGAATTTCATAGATGTTAAAAGCTGTAACTACAATTTGAAATCCGTGGCCGCAGCCAGTGTTTGCACCTGTTCAAAGAGCTTCCCACAGTCTTCATCCTCTCCATTTTTCAGCTCACAATTAAGATGGGCAGATATTACTATAAGAGGCTCTGCTATGCTGAAATGAGAGCTCTTTTCCAAGGCCAGGAAACGGAGATTTGTATAAATAACAAGACGATCTCTGTTTACCGAGAGTGCGATATGTTCAACCTCTGCTCATTTACTTGTGTATCTGAAATCTGATCGTGAAATCCATTCACTAGCATAGCCAAACATTCCCCCATTGTCACGAAAAAGAAGTGTCCATGACATGTACACTCATTTTTGTTAAGACTCCCACAATGCAATGTGTCCCCACAATTTACTGACAACCATAACGTGAACTTTTAAGTGTGTATAACATGAGAATTACATAAGGGATTCATTTGAAACACAGCAGAAGAGTGGTCAATTCTTGAAAATGCAATGTGGTGATCATAGACTGGTGGTGATGAATGGGCTGCAAACAGCAGCTCAATGTAAAATGGATAGAACAATGTTGATTGTATTTAAAGTAGTGCTGTCAAAATTATCGCGTTAACGGCGGTAATTAATTTTTGGAATTAATTGCGTTAAAATATTTAACGCATTTAACGCATGTGCAGAATGGCCCGCCCCATACGTGCCACCAGTGGCAGCGCCAGGGTATGGCTGGGGTAGGCTACACCCATACCAAGAAATGGCTTAGCCCCACCATGAAAAATGATGTTAAAATAAGCAAAATAAAGTCTGCCAACTCGCGCGGAGTAAATTGCACAGACAGCAGTTAGTAAGATTGATTTCAGTAGCCACGGTTTTGAAAACTTTTGTCACGTAGTGATCGTCTTCTCAATAGAACATCTTTGATAACGGCGTGGTGTTGTTGCAGGAAGTCCCGACGGAGAATACTTTCGCTGTAGTAGGCTACAGGGGTGCACATAACTGGTACGCAGGTTATGTGTGTAATCTGAAATGCGTACCGTCACTTGTGTCACAAAGCGCATTTGCGTACCGACGTACTTGTGAAGCTTTTCCAGAAGGCGGTTAGATCACCGCACGACAAAGTCGGTCTCCGTGTGCACAGACAGGGCTGCTGTTAACGTCGGTCTGTACAACGGAATTGTGCCAAAACTACGCCCAACCGGCTGCGGAGGGAGACTTCCCCCCCCCCCCCTTCACTGGAGAACTGCGCTAAAACAGATGATCACAACATTCACACTCTGTGGTCACGAAGTACTCCACTAGCCGCCGCAGCCCCCCCCTCCCTCTGTTGACTTTCCTGAAGTACTCCCCGGTTGATAGAAATCAACACGTAATGAATTAAGACCCCACGGTTTGATGATTGATAGGTGTGTGGGTTGTCTTTCATTTAGACACGCAGAAACATGTAATAATAAACATAGATACTGTATGTTAAATGGATATATCCGCCTTCTTTAATTTATCTTTCCATTCCCACAACAATATACATAAATAAATGGCATATTTTGGACATAGTTCGAATGGTGATTAATCATGATTAATTCATTTTTAAGCTGTGATTAATCTGATTAAAAATTGTAATCGTTTGACAGCCCTAATTTAAAGACAAAAGCCCAGTGAATATGTTCCTCTTAAGAGAAGATGCTGGTTGTTTTTTAAAGAGCTTTAAGGTAAACGAAGACCTGATCATCTTGTCCTCACTGTCCCTGCCGTCAACTACAACACATGAGATGCTTGGAGTACACATGCTACATTGTATGTAGATACACTACACAGCAAGACCACACAGAAAACCACACTACAGTTCAACGTGGAACATGCTCTTATATTATAAATTAATCTTATATTGCAATCAAAAATATAAAATGCCTTAAAAATTCAAACTGCTTTTTTGCTTTTTTTTGTTGTACTTGGTTTTAATTATTTAATGATGTTCTTTTAAGAAAGATGGGAGCTTTTAACAGGCCCAACTAAATAAATGTATTTCGGGGAATGCAGTTTAATGTTGTGACCATTCTGGTTTTTTTTACCAAACAAATTTCAGGAGTACCCCATTCATTTAATCTGGCTTGAGGACAGCCTGGATATTAAATACAGAGGAAATACTTTGTGTTTACTTTATTAACTAGAATTAGTGGAGTTTACGATAAGCAGCAGAGCTGTCACAGAATGTTTATATTCATATCAGGGAATATTTACCTACAGTGTTCTCTAATGGCTGCCTCCATTATAAGAACATCTACTGTCCATGCCTTTATGACTGACAAAACAACCCATGTTGCAGCCCAGCTCAATCTCAAATAGCATCTCAAGATCGACAGAATCCTAATAATAATTCATTTACTCTGGACATGGTGTGAGTGCACCAAAGGATACACAGCCAACTTTACACAGTTAATAGGTGTTGATTTATCTGGTATGTTGACAAGTGTTGATTGGAGAGTTGTTTGTCCACTCTTAGCTAACATGGCTTTGAGGCAGCTTTTTCAAAGCTATCCAACGTGTTTAATTATCTCTGATGGGTGTGGACTCATATAGAGGCTGGCAGACTCTTAACGGTGAAGTCCTGACAGAAGCAACTTTACTCTGGAAAGTTGTTGTTCTGGTATAATGGTTAGTAGCAGTGGCAATTGCTGTTAATGCAATAGCATTAGCGACCAGCAGGAATATATTCTTCTTATTCCTATTATTTGTCTTATTATTGTTGCTCATTCTCAAGAAAATATTTTTGTTCTCTTCCCATAACCTTGCGGAGTGGCTGCAAATGGTCACAGCAACAGCCTGTTAGGAAGACATCACTGGATATGGTACATGGGCCATTTTGAACACACATTTGGCTGCCATCATTATCCTCTGTTCCAAGAAAAAAAAACATGTGAATGAGTCCAACTTGTATTCTCTGTAATGCAGCCTCTCCACATGCCCTGGCTAATGTACTGTATTATTTCCAGATATAGACCCACTCTGGGAATAATGTACCAAACAAATTAATAGATTTCAGTGTCCAGCAGGTCATGCAACTGATAAAAAAGCATGAAAAGCTGCCATTGCTCTAAACCCACCTTCAACATTTATATGTTTTCATTTCACTTTTTTTAACCCATTTTCATCAAAATTACTCCCGCTACTGTGACCTCTCCAAAACACCAAGGTATGTTGTATAGATGCAAAATAATAGGGAGAAATGTGTTTGGTACCAATGCAAATACATATTTTAAAAGGAAAATATTTTAATGGGAAAAGGGTGATTCGTGCTAAGCCATTTTTATCTCAGATGTGTTGTACAGCACTCATTACCTCGACCTCAAGACTCGTAGGCAAACTACTCTTTGGTGAATAACATACTCTTATAAATGTGCCCTTAGAGCCTCAATTAATTGATTTCTAGGCCAATTAAGGAATTTCTTATAGATCTCTCTATAAGTGTAGAGACAACATGACACATTATCCTCAGCCCAGACAATACAGAGAGGATTCAGTTTGCAGCATTTCCATCTTATGAATGTTACTGTGAGGTTCATGGTGGGCCTTGTTTTCTCCCTTTGTGAGCAGCCACAGGGAGATGTGGCCGGTATAATAGCCCTCTCAGCAAGATATACGAGCCTCTGCCCACACAGAGAAAAGCTAGTCACTCCAGCTCCATAATGCACTCCTCTGCAAGGACTCTAAAATCCCACATTACCTATATCCACTAAAGGCTAAAAGGTTTGCATGCCCACGTTTTACACCTCAACAACAATTCCAACCTGAGAGGGATTGGCTGCCTACACTTGCGACACTGTTCTGCACCAGCGGCATGTTTCCATGTATGATGATGTTGTTTATACTGTATATGTAAACACAGAAATCATAAAGTGAAAAATAACGACCTTGTAATTTTAAGGCAGGTTTTCATTGTCTCTAGTAAGATCTTCGGGATAATAATAATAATAATAATTCCTTACATTTATTATAGCGCTTTTCCAGATGCTCAAAGCGCTTTATAAATACACATTACACATATCATACATGCAATGGTCATGTACTGTGGACAATACCCACAGGAGCAAGTTCAGGTGAAGTGTCTTGCCCAAGGACACAACGGCTTTACAGATGCAGCAGCGGCGGGTTTCACCCCTTGATCTGATGATCATTGCACAGTGCACTGTGCCACACCGTCCATCTTCATGCCTCGAAGTCATCGAGGCGCTTTTACAAGTACTGTAGAGTTATATTTGTATTTATTCATGTTAGCAAACTATGGATAAGCTTAAAATGAGAATAATTTGGGTAAAACTGTGAGCTGGATATGGGGCCTGTTGACATGTGTTTTTGAGGACAAAGGAAGATGGGGGAAGGTGAGAGCATGTCCTGATTTGCATTCAACTTAGATCTAGCTACAGTGGTTTGTGATATTAAGAGAGGTCCCTTGGGTTTCTCTGGTGGTTCTCTGGTGGTTATCAATAGTAGCAGTTAAGTGAATACTGTTCAAGCAATACCTGTGTTTGTGTTTTATATTGATTTCTCTGTTTTATCCTTTCATAAATGTAAGGACTACAAATGGCTATAAACATTCTGGGCTGGTTGGAGTAAACAGGGTTTTATTGCTCTGTGGGGGAGGTGTAGGTATGCAGGCCTTGAGACCTTTTGTTGTAAAGTGAGCCTGTTTGGTTTCCTGCTGGCCAGCGTTGCGTCTCCCAATGAGATGACCTGAAAAGATGACCAGCTGACCTAACACCAAACCCCTCCTTCTTACTCTGGTATATATCCGGTGGATCCCTGGCGTTCGGCCTCTTCTTCACATGCTGCCCTCGGGTGAAAGTAGCTCTGCAGTATGCGAACCAGTGCAGGAGTAAGCCGGCATTACTCCTTAAGCATTACAATATAACTGTAATATATCATGTTGTATTGTAATGATTGTATTGCATTGTCATATTGCCATTAAAGTAGATTATTGTTAACGGTTACTTTGTAGATATGGATTCCTTCCTGTATTATAACCAGCTTCATAGGAACGCGCGGAGATTTGAAAAGCGGATCAGATATCCCTTTAAATCTCCAACAGTACACATTAGTATTATACATGTACTGTGGACAATACCCACAGGAGCAAATCCGGGTGAAGTGTCTTGCCCAAGGACACAACGGCCTGACGCAGTGGCGGCAGGAGCGGGTTTCGAACTGGAGTTCCCCAGCACCCCCCTTGATCTGATGATCAGATGCACAGACCACTGCGCCACCCGATGCTATAATTAGCCAGAAAGTGCCCCACTGATATTCAATAGAAGGATCTGCATAAATCAGTCTACGTGTTAATCCTCATCTGGCTTAGTTTCGACAGATGAGAGGGTCTTTCTCTGACGCATATCATATAATAAACAATTTCCCATTATTAAAAAGTACCGTCAAGCCTGACAGCAATAAAGACAACTTTCTTGCACAATTGTACATTGTTTCATATTTCTTTTCAACAAGACAATCAGCCATTTAAAAAAGGATGTGTGTGCCTGAAGCCAAGACCTGAGCCAGTATTTGTATCGACAGTGACGGGAAACGAAAGTATGACTTTGTTCAGATAGCTTCAGTGTTTTCTTCCCACGGGACTTTCTCTGTCTTTACATCTGATTATACACCATTATTTCACCAGCAATAATGCCTCCCACTTTGTTTTGAAGTGCCTGCTATCCTGGTGTTATCCCCTGTCTCTGCATGTGTCCGTCTGCAGTTCCATCTAATGAGCCTATGCAAGCTAAGAAGGGACCAGTAGCTGTGAACCAGATGCTGAAAAAACAGTATCTTCAAGTTATCCACAGGAGAATGCAAATGCAGCCACCACTGTGAGCATAGAGCATGTGAAGCACATGCAAACAGTCAGCACTGTCCCTACAAACAGGCATTGGCTGGTGCAAAAATGATATTCCACAGTGCATGTGTTGTATGTGTATCTTTCTGTCTCCAAAATGTATTTTATACACATATTGTGCTTTGCCGTTTGTTATCTAGCCATTTAATATAGGATTTGACTAGCCATTGGCCCAGTGCACCAACAGATACATACATGGGGTGTCAAAGAGGATGGGGGAGCATGGGGGAGGAGAGGAGTATGGCATACAGATTAAAGTGAAAATAGATCTTTATTGTGAGAGGGATGTGGCATGTGTTGTCATTATTTGTCTTCAAATTGTTATGCTAGACTGGTATAAATAAATACACAAGTTACTTAGAAATCTCTGCCAAAAGTCTGTCAGACACGAAAATACAGAAAACGGACTGTGCCTACAGAGGTCAAAATTAGACAAAATGGCTAGTCAAGTGTGTCCAGAATATTGTGTCAATGCCCTTGGCTTCTACCGAGCCCTGCTTCAGCCCTACATCAGCCTCATGCATAAATAATGCCAGTGGAGTCCAAATTTGTTTGCTCAAATGTTCCAGGTTGTGCATCACTTTGCCAACAGATATGTAAATGAACTTCTGCATTTACCCATTAAGGATGTAAAATACATTTCAGTAATGAAATTAATTGGAGATAGAGGAGCTAGCAGTCAAGAGTTCAGTTCCTTCAGCTCAAAAACAAACTGGGAAGCAGAAACATAAAACGTCTGCCAATCTGCTCCAGTCCTCCATGATTCCAATTCCAATCCTTTTGTAATGGTTCAGCTGGAGTGGCTTGTTTCAGTGTGAGAGATCCCACTGCAGCGCTCTTTTACAACCCAAGACACCGACAGTCCCTGTAGGCAGCAGATAACCTTTACTGAGAAACAAAAGACTGACAAACCTGTCGTAGTCTTGACAGATCTCCCCCACTGCTATCAGAGCCTTCAGGTACTCATTGGGCTGGTAAGGGTTGATGTAGTGCAAAGAGCAGCTGTTCCTCGGGTCTCCATTGGAGGCTGTGAAGTCAATGGCAACCTGGTAGAAAGAAGTGCGCAGTATGAATAACAGGAATCAGTTACTAGAGTAGAAATCCACCATTAGCTTCTGTATTTGGAACATCATCGTGCTATGAGCAGGTTAAGTTTATGTCTTTGCTTCTCACCTTTAGTTTTTGGCTTCTTATTATTTTACAAGTAATTATGTGTGAGCAAGCCTGAAGTTTGCATAATGGCAATATGAATTATTTGATCAGAGGTATGAACTTGGGCTTTATACACCCACATACTGTAGGAACAGCTCCAGCTAAGAAGGAACTGCATCTACCAAAGCGATCCTCAAAATGAATATTCATTTCTTCAGTAATCCAGTAGAGAGTGAGAGGTTGCACAACAGAGGGCAGACTAAAGGGCAAAAGTTGAAGGTTTGAATTTATTCCACGATGCTGCCAAGAAAAATAACTGAGTGCATGTACAAAAACACCATCAGGGAAAGTTTAAAGGATGAGAACAATCTTAAAATACTGTTTCACGCTCAGAAAATATAACCTTTGCTGCACATTGAATGCTAATGGACCACTAAAGAAAACCATACCAATGTCTGTTTATATAAAAGCAATATGTAACATGCAGATAATATCACATTATTGGGTATTACATACAGCCAGGGCCTGTTAAAAGCTCTAGGACAGTGAAGCATTACTAAACACAGACTGCTCAATTTACCGTAAAGTGAATCTGGCATCCTCCCATGATGTAATCTAAGAAGGAGTACACTCTGTGGAGCTGCAATAGAAAAACAAATATGTATTATAGCAAAACTTCAGAAGCATCTTTTCAGAAGCATCTGGTAATTAAAACTGAATTAACGCGACAAATCTGTTGACTATAAAGTGTAAAAAAAGGAAAAAGATTGTTGTGATATGCTTCTCGGCAGCGGAAACAAAAAGTGCCCTCTGAGGAAATATCCTTAAACATTTACTCATTAAGCTAAGCAGTCAGATATAACAAACAAAGAAGAGTGTGTCACCATGCAGTGCGTACAAGCATTCATAATTACAATTCATTCCTATCTCATAATGTAAGTAAAAAGTAAAACAGTGATTGGTTCAACTGATTCCTACCTTAAGGTTACTGAGGATGACAACTCCTGAATTTTTATAGTTTCTCTTCTTCAGTTTGTACTTAGGATTCACACAGTCCCATGTCACCTAAACACAGCACGTTGAAGACAGTGTTCAGTGTTTTGAACATTGCCAATACATCTTAAGCACCATGCCATTGGTTTAATCTGGGATGGATTTCAGCAGAGAGAGGCATATTGAAAATGGATGAAACATTTACACGGCTGTCTCTCCTCGGTCTCTTCGTTCACTGACCTTATTTCCACTGGAAATGTTCTGCATGTCCCTGAAAGTGGCATAGAACTCGCCGATGAAGTCGTGTTTCCCTCTGGAGTCATAATCCCACACAAGGCACTGTAGGCACACGTGGACAAAACTGTTAACTGTCTGTTGCCATGACCATAGATAAACTATTCATGCAAAATGTAATAATTCACCTTTCAAATATTCTACTTTAATTCATTCTTGTTAAGCCCTGTTTATAGAGTTCCTGACCCCTACGTTTTGCACTGATGTGGATTTAGTTGCTAATGGTCTCTCACCTTGAGCTTACGTTCTGCATCACAGCTGCACAGAGATATGAGAGACACTTTGAACGGCTCCCACACAGGATTCAGGTTGTTCTTAATCACCTGTTAGAGAAGGAACCGGTTACATATGAAATAAGTGGCAGAAAACACCTGTTGCTTGAAGTGAAAAGGGAATATGATGATTTTACCTCAGTTCTGTGCACGAGTTGTTCTGATAGATCGTCATTGACTCGGTATATTTCCAGAAAAGGGTCAGATTTGCTGAAGATATCCTGCAGAGGAAACAAGATGTCAAAACCACTGACTCTTAATGAGAGCTCAAGCCCTAAGCCTAATGAAAACACATACATTAAATTCAACACTGTTGGTTTGACTTAATTTGCTTTATAGCATTGAAGCTAATCAGTCAGATAACATTTACCACGGGGCTGTGATGAACTTAACACAAGCAAAATTACCAGAAAAGCTCATTACTAAATATTCAATTGTAATAAGTGTCTTTAGATGATTTGTTTGAAAGGAAGCTGTAATTTATACAAATGGCTGTTGATGGTGGTTTATCAATGCTGATTGTAGAGGCACAGTTAATTATCTCTGTGATTAAAGGTCAGGGAGTAGCAGGCACAGAGCACAGAGTGGTCGCTACGGTGATGAAATAATCAGGATAGAGGAAAAAAAGATTGCTTTTTGGTCAGATGAGAGTTTGAGAATATTTGGCAAGCTTACATCTCATGCCATAATTATGCACTTGTATTGAGCCAAAAGCATTCATGACCTGCTATTTCCTTCAATGTAGCCTCCATTGCAGTTCGGAATATTTCTATTGGTTTCTATTTGCACTCCATTACTTCCCATGTTCATAATCTGCAGTAGCCCAGCATCACAGTTTGAATTACCTATGGTGGCTGTCTCTATTTACATCGTCAGTGAATAACCAGCTTATTTGAAAACATGCGTAAGAGTTAGCTTCCTGCACGGTTATTTACTGTAGCCTTAAATTATTCTCAGTCTAAAGCACACGCGTCTGAGAGCAGAGCATTGCTGATTATTTAGGACAATTGATTCTTCAGGGAAGCTTGTGTGTGTGTGTGTGTGTGTGTGTGTGTGTGTGTGTGTGTGTGTGTGTGTGTGTGTGTGTGTGTGTGTGTGTGTGTGTGTGTGTGTGTGTGTGTGTGTGTGTGTGTGTGTGTGTGTGTGTGTGTGTGTGTGTGTGTGTGTGCGTGCGTGCGTGCGTGCGTGCGTGCGTGCGTGTGTGTGTGGTCTAGCATTACTATACTTGTGGGGACCTAAATCTGTTTACATAGTCACGAGGTCCCCATAAGGGGAATCATTCATTTTAGGGTGAAGACTTGGTTAGGTTTAGGATTAGGGTTAGGTTAAGGGTAAGGGTTAGGGTTAGGCATGTGTTGGTTATGGTTAATGTTAGGATAAGTCTCCAGGAAATGCATGTAAGTCAATGTAATGTCCCCTGAAGTGATGTATACATGGTATGTGTGTGTGTGTGTGTGTGTGTGTGTGTGTGTGTGTGTGTGTGTGTGTGCGTGCGTGCGTGCGTGCGTGCATGCGTGCGTGCGTGCGTGCGTGTAATATTGCATTTCCCGCCACGTTATGGTTAATGTTAGGATAAGTCTCCAGGAAATGCATGTAAGTCAATGTAATGTCCCCTGAAGTGATGTATACATGGTGTGTGTGTGTGTGTGTGTGTGTGTGTGTGTGTGTGTGTGTGTGTGTGTGTGTGTGTGTGTGTGTGTGTGTGTGTGTGTGTGTGTGTGTGTGTGTGTGTGTGTGTGTGTGTGTGTGTGTGTGTGTGTGTGTGTGTGTGTGTGTGTGTGTGTGTGTGCGTGTGTGCGTGCGTGCGTGTAATATTGCATTTCCCGCCACATTAGCCTGATACATCTCCTGAGGGACCGGAGCAAAAAGAGCTGTAGTATCCTCTCTTTGTTGTCATGGCAACCGCTAGCTAGTGAAATCCGCGGTACAAACGCAGATGTCAAAATCCCACCATGGGCCGGGATGTGAGCGATATCTCATAATTAATGCTCCTGTGCATCAACGTGTGATCCCTCAATATATACAGCCGGTGGAGGTGATACACCTGATGAGCAGCTAATCAGAAACACTCCGCTCCTTCACTCAACATCTGCTAAATAAATCGTTAGGCCCAACATCAACCTGGCAGATAAGTGGCAGATAAATTGTATTGGTAGGGAACCGACCTGATAGCTGGTGAACTCTATTTATGGAGGAAACCATATCATGATTTTTGATTTGTATAACAAGAACATAACAGTTACTTGTGGTACCTGTTGACATCTACCTTTTATTATTTACAACATTTGTTTCAAATTCACTTTTTAGTATGTTTGTATATACAATAAATCAATAATATGTTTTAACCGTGAATTTGGTTAACAACCCAACTTTACTGTTCTCATTTACCAAATGTCAAAATAACCAAATGAGCATTTAGCACCCTAAGAGCTCAGCGTTGGTGGTGGTGGCTGTCACTACCCGATCTGCAGCTCTGCCCGATCTGCAGTGCGCATGTGCGAGATGGTCCGCCATATTGGACAACTCCGGACGGCAACCCAAGATGGACACTTGACACAGTGGCTTTTAGCAAAGCTCAAAAATAAAACGAGAGAGATGAGTTATTGTTATTACAACGTGACTACACTATTATTTAACAACTCTTTTTATGGGGTTATTTTATTTGGGGTTAAGTACATTGTCAGAATAAGTGAGAAATGTAATAACAATAACTCATCTCTCTCGAGTTTTCCTTTTGAGCTTTGCCAAAAGCCACTGTGTCAATGTTGTCCTACTTGGGATGCCGTCCGGCGTTGTCCAATATGGCGGACCATCTCGCACATGCGCACTGCAGATCGGGCAGAGCTGCAGATCGGGTAGTGACAGTGGCGACCAAAACTAATCTAAAAGGAGATTGTAGCAGATGTGTACATAAGCTACTAATATTTTACTAATCACTCAATGGCAAGAGTTATTACAATCATTACTCATCACTTCAAAACTAAATAAACATTTGCTGTTTTACTTTAAAAAAGAATTCTACCTTATCCCAAATCAGAGAGAAGAAGTCTGCTTTATTACCCTGCATCAGTGAAATCAAATACAGCTCTTACCCGTGTTTGTTGATGACTTCTAAATGTTTGACAAATGTGCCGGCCTTTAGAGTCAAAACACACTCTACGTGTGAGCTTTTGTGTCTTTTTCTGACCAAGATATGTTTAAAATCTACCACCTAAAGATTGGCTGTTTTCCAAACCAGGAGGAAATGTTCCATGCAGGTAAACGGAGTCAGTGTCTATCATTATGTGCATCATGGTTGTTGGTTATTTGGCATCAACAACCAAAATCTGTTCCAAATAAGCTGCTGAAAAGGGTTTTTTCAGTGCATTCTAGTGTCTCTGGTCCTCGATTACACACCACTGCTCCCCAGTGTTGCGCCCACAGCTGTATTCACATCAGTTTAAACAAAGCAGGCGGGTGGATTCACAGGCAGAGGCTCAATACTCCCAGCAGTATCCAGTAGCTGGATATATAAAGCAAATATGACATGCAGGGGAAGATATAAAGAGACTGTGGGGAAGATGCACGCTATAGCTAGTACCTTATTTTAATCATTTTCCTTGTGTAACATTCAAGTTCAATTTAACTGTCAGACTAGCGGGAAACGGCAAACTGTAATTTAAAAAATAAGTGAACGGGCTATAGAACATTTCGTTTTTTTCTGCCAATACCTCTGTGTATCAAGGGCAGCCTATGAGATTGACATCCTAAGGCTCGTTTCTAAGAACATGCAGACTTCAGATGATCACAGTCGTAATTGGATGCCAGCTCCTGCTGTCTTTGTGATTGAAATATGCCTTCAGCAAAGTTTGACAGTTTGAAAGTCAGAAGCAGTGAGGGTCAGTGATATCCAGATTCAAAGTAAAACCACATGTTATCAAGTAATAACAAAACGTTTAAAATGCGATATCACATAATGTTCATTTGACACTATGTGGCCAAACACCAGAAAGTGTACCCGTTAAAGCATTATGTGACTACAAAGATGTGTCATATCAAGTGTGATATGTCACTTTTTTCTCTCCTTGTACAATTAAATTATAAAATGATTTAAATATAATATGAATATGTGTATAACTTCTATGCCAGTGATGCATCCCGTCATGATTATCACATTATTACCTCTGCTTCCCGTGTGTAGTGCTATAAACCGTATCTAATGAATTATGAACCGTGTTGGTTTCTCCATGTGCTCTGCTCACCTTATCATCGAGCTTCTTGGCACAGAAGGAAAGCTCCACGTATCCGTTGTTGCCTGAAATTTCCTCAGCGTGCACCTGAGAGGAAATAGCAATATTTTATGCATATATGGGCTTCATTAACTATGGCAAGAAATCACATGACTACATGATACATTTCAGGAAAGGAAGACATTGCTCATAAAAGCTACTTTTTGTACTAAATTGCAGAGTAAGATGAAGCCTCTCATATAATAGGATGAAGTTAATTATCTGCCAGTAGTTAAAAGTTAAGGCTTTACTCCAGTTTCCATCCAACATTTTTCTTTCCATTGCAAAAAGTAACTTTTACCTTAATAGTGTCTGCACTGTGGCATGCAGTTAACAAAGTGAAGTGGCTTTTACTTGACAAGGGACTGCAGGACATTACAATGAAAGAGTAGAGCCCCATTATTCACACACTAATGGGCCCCTGCTGTAATAGGGTACTGTCTCGAGTTGAACATTCAACTTGTTATGGATGTAAAAGTTACCACGTACTGTGCAGTGCAATAGTAAAGTTTTATAACAGCTCTTTAACATGTTTCGTTTGTTTATACCTGTGTGTTAGTTAAAAAGAATCCCAGATCTCTCTCTGCTGCTTCCACTGGCCCACTCACAGAGAGAGAAGTCTGCTATCTCTGCGTCTTTCTATTGGAAACTGACTGAAACTTTACATCAAACGGTAAGAACTGTTGCTGCAGAGTGCAGGAACAATCTATTTAAAAGGCAGGCAGTGTGTGTGAAGTGTATCCATCAAATGGTTAAATACTTTTTGGATGATATTCACTTCTGTTGTACATTTCTGCCACAAGCGTTCTCTCCGAATACCAAATGTTACTTGTTATATCTTAAAAAGTTATGTGTGGTTTCATCCATAATGTCACCCAGTCCATTCAGTGGCAGCTGATCATTACTGTCTGAATGATGTGATTTATTAGCTCTTATTTGGGGGCAGATTTGTTGATGTTATCCATAAAATGTGCCAAATGCTAAATGTATTTATTTCAATGCATCCCTCTGTTTAATGTATTCAGCATGTTTAAAGGTCTTAAGTGAATGTACCTTTCCAAAAGAAACACCACCCTATTTTGTAGTGTGAATGTAGTGAAGTGAAATGGCAATTCAGTCACATTCAAATATAGCAATGGTTTAATTTGTTAGCAAGGGCTGTATAATAATAATTATTATTATTATTATTATTATATTTATATTGCAATATGTATTGATTGGTGCATGATACAAGAATAATTCAATTCTTTTTGGAAGATTTTATTATTTTGATTTCTCTACTGTCCATATCATAACCCCTGGTGAGAGTTTTGTTTAGGGCTTAGAAATGCATTAAGACAATAGTGGTATAGAAGTATAATTTTATCTGTATGTGTTTTAATAAAAACATCTGTATCCCGCTTGTTATATCTTTATCACAAACAATATATTCATGGTTGCATTCATGCATGTATTCAAAATCATATACACATCTTCTATATAGCAGGCGAAACAGATGGTGCAGTATTAAAATGCAATAAAAATGAATATTTTACAATGTCAGTATGTGTGGGAAGCAATTATATGTTGGATAAAGGTTTAGCATAATGTTACTGCACTGAATTCTTTATATCTGTTTTGGAATAAATGGTTAGAAATGTCTTTGTGTGAATTATCTAAAGACCTTAAAAAAGTATTTGCTGTGGACATATTTAAATATATACAGTCTAACTCTGGCAAGAAGAGAAAAACAAATGTAAATGAGTTAACCTTTTCCTCACAGCACAGGAATCCAACCCAATTGAATACCATATTTCTTCAACCTGTCAACACATAATGCTTAGCGCTTTTATTTGCTACAGTTCATTCTGTGACCACTTCCTGCCTTTTTTTGTGTATTCCCAAATGAGGCAGCGTGTAGGACACAGCGCAATCTAGCTCGTCTTGTTTTTATATTTGCTTGCACTGCTGGCTTGTTAACTGGAAGATGGCGGTTAATGAACCAACAGCTCTTCTCTTCCACATCTGACACATGTGGTTTCTTATACATGCATCATTTCCTCTTGCTTCCTTGTGTGTGTTTGCATTGATAGCACCAAAGATGAACACTAGAGACAATTATCAGAGAGTATGTATACTTCTGACAACTAACCACCACAACAAATTCATTATACTCAGTAGCAACATAAAGCCATTCTGAGTGGTGAGATAACAAAGTATCTTTTGGTTCTTTTCAATCATCATACCAGTAAAGTAAGAACAAATGTTATTCCATAATGGTGCCTAAGAGTAAACGGATGTGACATTGGATATAAATACAAATAAATCAGTTTTACAGATCAATTTGACATCCATTATTTCTCTCAGCTTTCCCTGGTCATATGTTCTGACTTCCACTTTACTGTCCAGCAATCTCAAGAATTTCATTCATCAGAGCAACAAGGTCATAAGCACATATGAGACATGAAAGCAACTCACTGTGATGGTAGATTTGCCGGCATATTTCCCATACTTTAGCAACAAAGGCTTCACCATCCTCTTTTGGGCCACAATCTGCAAAGAACAACATAAACACATTGTTAGTCTTGAACCTTCCTCAGCAGTAAAGAGCAGAGAGCATTTGCTGTCTCTCAGGACATAGACCTCTTTACCTACACTTGCTATTTGCATTGCATAAATGCATTAACACTGAGAAGTATGACATGACAAAATGCAGCGCACTATGTGTACCCACATGCTGCACTCATTATATTCAAAAAGTGTGGAATACGGGATATTTCTCAACTTGAAGGAAAGGACCAGCAGCAGTTACTCGGGTAAGCACAAATCTAAACAAAAGCACCACTTCTGTTGTCATTTATAAGCATCAGTATGTTAATTGGGTTACTATGCAGTGTGTAATAATTTAGTTTTCTTAAAGAATAACTTGACTATTTAGCTAGCTATCCTAAAGCAGCAAACATCATTCCCGGTGAGTTGGAACAGCCGTGTGTAATTTAAAAGAACACTGTCCTGTAGAGGTTAAAGCAGTACACAAGTAAGTAAATCATGTACACGGTGTAGAACATAGAAGTGTACTAGCAGAAGTACCCACATTGAAACAAAGCAAGGAGTGGAATTTACTACCAAGCTGTGGATATGTTTAGTGTATTTTACAGCATTCAAAATACAGTTTTGAGAGCACAAACCTAACCAGTACATGTAAATGAAATGGGTTAGTAGGACATTGGCATCTGCCTACCTGGCCAAGAGTACACTCCATCCCACCCAGGAAGTCATCATCTCGGGTCCCGATGCTGTGAGTGCCGTGGATGTCATAGACTTCAAATCGTAGCTTCTGAACCTCCTCAAAGTAGTAGTCCCATGAGAAAACCTTGGCAAAGACCGGGTGCAAGTTGCTCTTGATCACTTCTGTCCTGTCCAGCTGGGAGGGAACACACATGTTCAGTTAATATATTTAAACATTTTAATATTTCTTAATTTAACTCACTATGTGTGTGATTAAAGCAACAGTAGATCTAATGGAGTATCAGCACGTTTGCCCTTTGTGACCTATTTTTAAAGCAAGATCTTACCAAAATATGATGATTTATTTTTATATTGTGGAACACCAGCATCTACAGCAGGGCAAATGTTTTTACGTTCCATCAAGAGGATGTTGTGAGAGAAGATTTTAGGGTTCAGACATTTCATCTCACAGTACAAAAAAAAACATCCATGCTTGTCTTTCACTGCCTGACAAGGAAAAGCTGAGCTCTCTGAGGCCCCATCTGCTCCTGATTAGCTCGCACAGCTCCACCAACATTTCTATATTGCCCAATTTGTCACAATGACATGTCACCATTGAACATGATATTTTAGTCAGCGGAGATTAAATAAGGACAAACATGCAGCAAAGATCCACAGTCATAATTGTCATAACATAGTGTAGTTACGCTGATGTTCATAACTTTTTTGGGGACCTATGAAACCTATGAAAATGATAGACACATCTAAAGGCACAATTTGGAGCTGATCTAGTGACATTGGATTAAAGAACTATAAAGGGATTTACATCTGAAAAAAAGTCTAGTGGTCATCCTCAAAATAGCCATACACAATTGTGTCTGTGACAGCATCCAAGGCCAGTAATTCACCATCACAACGTGAGGTCAGTGTCATGAGGACTTGAATTAGTATGAGAAGTATGAGTTTAACAATCTGTGGGGTGATTTTATGGAATGGTTTGGAGCAGGAGTTAAAACAAAGCACAAGCATAATTCAGTTTAAAAGGATGTACAGAAACACTTTTTTGGAAAAATATGAGAATGAAGAAAGGTGATTGAAGATGAGAAATTATTGTATATGTATGTATAAATGTAAATGTATGTAGGAATAACTTGCATAATGATTTAAAGGACAATCATTGATCAAGTAAGGGGTGGGAATTAATAAGCATTTGCTTCCTCCTACTCCCTTTCGGACACATATGATTTATTATTATTATTAATATGAAGACTTTTTTTTAAAACTTTTTTTTGTTGAATATACAAATATTACCATGAATGTGGATAAATACTGTATTATAACAATACGGTATTCTGTTTATCACATTTGTTATTTGTTATTTTTTAATCTGTTCGAAATAAAGACTGAAATAAGAAAGAATTGGTGACATCCAAGGATAGTGGTGGTCTAA